CATGCGAACACCGTCATTCGGGCCTTCGGTGGAGCTCCCCATGGGGTCACGAAGCGCTGTACTGGGTTGCGGAGACGCATGCGAACACCGCAACGGGGGCCCTCGGTGGTGCTCCCCATGGGGCCACGAAGCGGTGGACTGGGTGGGGGAGGCGCATGCGAACACCACCACTGAGGCCTTCGGTGGAGCTCCCTATTGGGCCACAATGCGCTGTACTGAGCCAGGGAGACGCATGTGAACACCACCACTGAGGCCTTCGGTGGAGCTCCCTATGGGGCCACGAAGTGCTGTATCGGGTCAGGGAGACTCACGCGAACACCACCACTGAGGCCTTCGGTGGAGCTCCCCATGGGGCAACGATGCGCTGTGCTAAGGGGGGAGACGCATGCGAGCACCGCCACTGGGGCCTTCGGTGGAGCTCCCCATGGGGCCACGAAGCGCTGTACTGGGCGGGGGAGACGCATGCGAACACCGCCATTCGGGCCTTCGGTGGAGCTCCCGGCAACGATGCGCTGTACTCATTGGGGGTGACGCATGCGAACACTGCCACTTGGGCCTCCGTTGGAGCTTCCTATGGGGCCACGAAGCGCTGTACTGAGTGGGGGAGACGCATGCGAACACCGCCATTCTGAAAACGGACCTTCCATCCGTGAAACTCTTGCAGTTGTTTAAGACGAGTGCGCGGCACCAAGGCGAGAGCACCATGTTGAAAGCGGACCGCCCTCCATTCGCGGAGCTCTTGCAAAAATCAAGCGTCAGGATCATACATGGTGAGAAAGTTCCAGGGGATACGCCCGACCCGCCTTTTCGACCGGCCTTGGGGTGCGACAGGGGCAAGGAATGGAGGAGGAGGAGGAGGGGGAGGAGGAGGAGGAGGAGGGAGGAGGAGGAGGAGGAGGAGGAGGAGGAGGAGGAGGAGGAGGAGGAGGAGGAGGAGGAGGAGGAGGAGGAGGAGGAGGAGGAGGAGGAGGAGGAGGAGGAGGAGGAGGAGGAGGAGGAGGAGGAGGAGGAGGAGGAGGAGGAGGAGGAGGAGGAGAGGAGGAGGAGGAGGAGGAGGAGGAGGGGGAGGAGGAGGAGGAGAGGAGGAGGAGGAGGAGGAGGAGGAGGAGCAGGACCCCCTTCGCTCCACGGCCGCCCGACGGACCGGGCCCGGCCCGCCTGCCGCCCCCGCGGGTCCGGGCTCTCCAGGGGGACCCCGGCCCTCCCGCAGGCCTCCGCAGGCCTCCAGAGGAGCCCGAGCCCCGGAGGGTTCCAGAGGGGGTTTTTGGGGGAGGCGGTTTTCCAGGAGGGTTTTGGGGGAAGGGTTTTCCAGGGGAGTTTTTTTTTCCAGGAGGGTTCCAAAGAGGGTTCTCCAGGAGGGTTTGTGGGGAGGGGGTTTTCCAGGAGGGTCTTTGGGGGGTTGGGGGGGGGGTCCAGGAGGGTTGTTTGGGTTTTTTCCCCACATCCAAAGTGGGGTTCTTGTTTTCTCTGGACACCCCGCGCAGGAACACTCACCCCCTCTTCTCCTCGCACTCATTCACACACACATCATCATCACTCGCACTCTCTCACACGCTCACGAACATCATCGTCATCATCGGTATCGGCATCATCCTCATTCAAACATCATCATCGCCACCACCACCCACAATCAATCATCATCCTCTTCACCACTCATCTTCACCACCACTCATCATCCTCATCCTCATCATCGTTGAGTAAAGTGTGAGGAAGTCTCAGGCGGGAGCCCCCTCCCTATGGGGCCCGCAGATCATGTTGGTAATCCGAGCGGGTCATCGGAACCCTGTAACTGTCGTCACTTTTGGGCTCCCCAGGCCTGAAAATGGAGGAAGTCTCAGGCGGGAGCCTCGTCTGTGAGTGAATTGGGAGGAAGTCTCAGGCGGGAGCTCCCTCCCTATGGGGCCCGCAGATTATGTTGGTAATCCGAGCGGGTCATCGGAACCCTGTAACTGTCGTCACTTTTGGGCTCCTCAAGCCTGAATATGGAGGAAGTCTCAGGCGGGAGCCTCGTCTGTGAGTGAATTCTGAGGAAGGCTCAGGCGGGAGCCCCCTCCCTATGGGGCCCGCAGATCATGTTGGTAATCCGAGCGGGTCATCGGAACCCTGTAACTGTCGTCACTTTTGGGCTCGTCAAGCCTGAATTTGGAGGAAGTCTCTGGCGGGAGCCTCGTCTTTGAGTGAATTGTGAAGAAGTCTCAGGCGGGAGCCCCCTCCCTATGGGGCCCGCAGATCATGTTGGTAATCCGAGCGGGTCATCGGAACCCTGTAACTGTCGTCACTTTTGGGCTCCTCAAGCCTGAATATGGAGGAAGTCTCAGGCGGGAGCCTCGTCTGTGAGTGAACTGCGAGGAAGTCTCAGGCGGGAGCCCCCTCCCTATGGGGCCCGCAGATCATGTTGGTAATCCGAGCGGGTCATCGGAACCCTGTAACTGTCGTCACTTTTGGGCTCGTCAAGCCTGAATTTGGAGGAAGTCTCTGGCGGGAGCCTCGTCTTTGAGTGAATTGTGAAGAAGTCTCAGGCGGGAGCCCCCTCCCTATGGGGCCCGCAGATCATGTTGGTAATCCGAGCGGGTCATCGGAACCCTGTAACTGTCGTCACTTTTGGGCTCCTCAAGCCTGAATATGGAGGAAGTCTCAGGCGGGAGCCTCGTCTGTGAGTGAACTGCGAGGAAGTCTCAGGCGGGAGCCCCCTCCCTATGGGGCCCGCAGATCATGTTGGTAATCCGAGCAGGTCATCCAAAACCTGTAACTGTCGTCAATGTTGGGTTCTCGCGCTGCCAGAACGCAGTTCCCAGGCCACACTTTGGATGCAACAAGGAAGTTTTTGGGCTCCTCAGGTCGCCGAGGTGCTGCGACAGGGCGCCGAAGGCGCCGACGACGACGGCCAGGCCGAGGCGCGGGCGCGGAGCTTGCTGATGTTCAGGCCCAGCGAAAGGGAGTTCACATGGCAGAGCTCGGGGGCGCACAGCGTGCGCCGCTCGGGGTTCACCCTGACGCACGCGTCCTACCTGACCTCCACGCTGTCGCAGGGCCAGACGCTGCGCAAGGGCGTCACCATCGACTGCGCGAGAGACGAGGACGCTGGCCGCACGGGCATGTCGGACGAGCAGTGGTGGCTGCACCTCTACGTCATGTTCTCCCGCGCCACGTGCATGCGGAACATGCTGATCCTGCGGCCGCCGCCGCGAGAGTTCCTGGAGTGCGGGCCGCCGGCGTCCCTGCGGAAGGCGCTCCTGGAGTTCGACAAGAGAACGGTTTTGTCCAGGGCGGAGGCGAAGCAGCTCGCGGCAGAGCTGGGCTTCGTGCTGCCTTCCGCCTGAGCGCGGCTGCGCCTCGCTCGAAGCCCGCGGGGTTGTCCCAACGGCTTGGTCTTGCGCGCCAACGGCTCGCGGGGTTGTCCCGACAGCCTGGCCCGCGGGGTTGTCCCAACGGCTGCGCGACGTGACCTGTAGAGAACGCGCCTGTGCTGGCCGTGGCGGCGACGGCGCCGAGGAACATCGACATGCGCGCTCATGCAACAGGAAGGGGAGGAGGTGGCGGGGCGCGGAACAAACAGGGGGGCGAGGATGGGGACAACGTAAGGAGTGGAAGGGGGGCCCGCGCCAAGGCGAGAGGAAATATACGCAGAAGAGACAGCCAGGACGCCTCACCAACCACGAGGACGACGGTGATGGCTTTTTCCAGATTCGCCCAGAGGATTCTTATGTGGGGTTCTTCCGTCGGAGTAATTTTCAGGAGGGGCTTTGGGGAGGGGTTTGTACAGGAGGGTTCCAAAGGGGGTTTGGGGGGGAGGTTTTTTTTTCCAGGGTCCCCCAGGGGCTTCGCACCCCCTGTCTTGACGAGGTTCCGAGGCCCCTGGGGGGCTCTCTGGAAAACCCCCTCCCCCAAACCCCCTTCGGAGCCCTCCGGGGGCCCACCGGGCCGTCTGGCGGGTGCAGTCCAGTGTCTGTCTGGTCCAACGAGGTGCTCACTCGTCGACACCTCGCTGCTTCGCAAGTGCACGAGTCGTCCAGCTGCACGCTGTCTGAGAGGATCGGTCCGTGCAGCCCTCGACTTGCAGCCGCTTGCAGCACAGTCAGCTGCTAGCTTCCCGCTGTGAGGGTGTCGGGGAGTTCGGGAGTGCAGAGAGCAGCCGGGAGACGGAAGGCCGAGAGTTACCAGCCTCGAACGTATCCCTGTCCCTAAGATTGACACGCCAAAAGGCGATGACAATCTTAGGGATTCGCCCTCAAACAATAAGGGAATCCCTAAGATTGGCATCGTGATGAGGAGATGCCCGGCACAGGGATAGGGAGATGTTCCAGGCTGGTAAGAGAAAGGGGAGACGGGGCAGGGGCGAAGGGGGAGACGGGTGCGGAGGGCCACGATCAGGACCAGGAGGGCGAGGAGGGGCATCAGTAGGGCCAGGAGGGCGAGGACGAGGAGGGGCGCGTAGGTGGAGGAGGAGCCGAAGGAGGGCAGGGAGCACGGTCATGCGAAGGACGGGGCGGGAGGCGGGAGGGGGGGCAAAGACGAGGAGGACCAGCACGGGGGAGGACGAGACGACGACTCGCAGACGAGCCGACCGAAAGCCACATGTTGCCGCGGGCCAGGAGGCGGCGGCCGAGAGTGAGTGGGTCCAGGAGGAGGAGGACGATGACGACAGGGATAACGACGAAGGGGAGGATGAGGAATCATTGAAGGAGGAAGAGCACAAAAGGTGAGACGCAGGAGGGCGACGAGCACGGGGAAGAGGAAGGAGCACGAGGAAGAGGGAGGGGCACGATAATGTGATGATGATGATGATGATGATGATGATGAGGAGGAGGAGGAGGAGGAGGAGGAGGAGGAGGAGGAGACGGGTGAACAGGAAGTGGAAGAGGAGGATTAGGAGAGTAACGGAGAGGACGAGGGGAAGCAAGGAGGCGTGTGTGCGTGTGTTTGTCTCTTGTGCAGAGCGATGATTGCAGCGCTGATGTTCGAATTGAGCTGGCTTGGCCACGCCTCCTGGCGCCCTTCAGGCGTTCTGCCCGAAGACCGGCTACGGACACGGGGAGGGGGCAGAATGCCAGGAAGTTTGATGCTTATGATGTGTCCCGCCTGGGCGAGAACTTGATGCGTGATGCTGCACATGTTGGCCAGCTCTCGGCCCTCGTGTGGCTTGGCACGCTGGCCCCCGCACGTGTGCCTCCGGCGCGTGGCTCCCGCACGCTGCACGGGTATCTGGCCGTGCGCGTGCTGGCTCCCTGGTGCAGAGGTGGTGGCGGAGACCAGGAAAGGGAACGGGTGACCGACGCTGTCGGGGAGAGGTTCCCGACGGCCGTGTGGAACAGCTCAGGAGTTTGACAGCGACACGAGACGGGAGCAAGGGCGACGGACGACAGACAGGTGACCTCTCTGGCAGCAAGGGCGACAGACGCGATGTAGCCGGCATGATTTGCACCATACAGGGATCCATGTGATTGGTTGAGAACGGCAAATTCAGGGAAGTGAGGGATCGCAAGGGTATCGCGAAGCGAGCCAGAGTGCAAAGTGCGGGCGGCTACAATCAGGGAGGCGTCAAGGTTGGGAAGGGAGGCACTACCTACTACGACTGTGAGTTCTACAGCCGGGCCAGACAGACACCAGGTCTCGGAGTTGGGGGGCCATTCTTGGCCACTTGAGCCCTGACCAGAGCATGTTGAGCTTGTACATGCTAAGATAAGTCAGCTGGGAACCCAGGGGTCAGGGCCTGCGCCCCCCCGCCCAGAAGGGGACGGGTCCCGGGGCCTGTCGGTCCCTGCCCCCAAGATGCGATGGTGGGGCAGAGAAGAGCACATAGGCGCGCACGCACGCGCACACAATACAGCCCGACGACAGCGCGCACACCCACACACACACACATACACATACACATACACATGCACATACAGACCCATAATACAAGTATACACACATTCACACACATGCACACACAAGCACACGCACACGCATACGCACGTTCACACACACACACACGCACACATCTACACACATGCACACGCACACGCACACGCACACGCACACGCACACGCACTCACGCACTCACGCACTCACGCACACACACACACACACACACACACGCACACGCACGCCCACACGCACACACGCACACGCACACACGCAAACACGTACACACGCACACACGCACACATGCACACACGCACACGCGCACACACACACACACACGCACGCACGCTCGCACACGCACACACGCATGCACACACACACACACACACGCATGCACACACACGCACACGTACACACACACACACACGCACGCACGCACGCACGCACACACACACACACACACGCACACGCACACGCACACGCACACGCACACGCACACGCACACACACACGCACACGCACACGCACACGCACACGCACACGCACACGCACACGCACACGCACACACCTACATATTCACACACACGCTCATACACACACGCACACACACTCACACACACACACACTCTCACACACACACACACACACGCACGCACGCACGCACGCGCACACAAACACGCACACACACAACACACACACACACACAACACACACGCGCGCGCACACACACCTACACACAAACACACACACACACACACGCACGCACGCACGCACGCAAGCACGTGCCGAGACCCTGGATCGTGTGTCCTGTATGGAATGAGCGCTTGAGCCAACGATGACATTTGGTTGTTGTCATGTGTGAGGTGTTGAGTGCAGGCCATGGTTAGCTCACGACAGGGACTGGCGCAAGTGCACACCTGCGCGGACCTTGCATGTAGTTTCCCAGGTCTGTTGTATACCTGAAGGGCCTGTTCCTCTGCCGCCAGCCATCCTTCTACGGTTGCCTGTATGGTTGGGACGATTGAGTTGGTTGGTTGATGGGCTGATTGGTTCGTGGGCCGGCATGTCGGGGTTGACTGGCTGGCAGGTTGGCTGGCTGGTTGGTTGGCTGAAGGGCTGGTTCGCAGGCGGGCGTTCTGACCCGTCCGAGGGCTGGCGGGGTGGCTGGAGGGTCCGGAGCACGGATCCATCGCTTTTGCAAAGGATCATGGCCTCGGGTGCGCGGATGATTTCTGTTGAGATGGGATCGCTGCCTCGGGAGCGCGGGGCAACTCTTTCGTCAGGGCTCGCGGCCTCGGTGGCCTCGGGAGCGCGGACCTGTTGTTCCCAACCCTCCTGCGCTGGGTGTTCGTTGTTTGACGAGAGCACTGCGTTCGCACGCGCCTTCTCCCGCTGCCTCCTCCTCCTCTCTTCCCACCTCCTTACCTGCTTGCCACCCTGCCTTCTGCCCTGTCTCCTGCTTGGCTGCTACCCTGCCTCCTCGCCGTCCCCGGGGGGGATGTGGACTGCGAAAGTATCGCCATTTTCGAGAGCTGCTGGGGGGTCCAGCGGAGTGACGTCATACGCGGATCTACTTTGGACGTCGCCATCCCTGGGTGGCTGCGATCTGCGGAGCTGTCGCCACTTCCAAGGGTTGCTGGGGAGTCCTGCGGAGTGACGCCATGCGCGGATCTAAATTTAGACCTCGCCATGCCAGGGAAGCTTAGACTTGCCAAACTGTTGCCACTTCCGAGGGCTGCTGGGTGTCCAGCGGAGTGGCGTCATACGCGGATCTAAATCGGACCTCGCCATCCCTGTAGGGCTGCGATCTGCGAAACTGTTGCCACTTTCGAGGGCTGCTGGCGGGTCCAGCGGAGTGACGACATTCTCGGATCTTCTTTTGAGGTCACTACCCCTAGAGGGCTGCGATCTGCGACGCTGCCGCCACTTTCGAGGGCTGCTGGGGGTCCAGCGGCGTGACGTCAGACGCGGATGGAAATTTCATGTCGACATCCCTGGAGCGCTGCGATTTGCGAAACTGTTGCAATTTTCGAGGGCTGCTGGCGGGTCCAGCGGAGTGACGTCATACGCGGATCTACTTTTGACGTCGCCATCCCTGGGGGGCTGCGATCTGCGACACTGTCGCTACTTTCAAGGGCTGCTGGGGGTCCGGCGGAGTGACGTCCACAGCCTGCCAGGGCGGGAGCATGCACAGCGGAGTCATTGCCGACGTTGGGCGCAAGAACGCGGAGGACCTGGTCGCCCTCTGGCTGCATTTCCCACGCCATGCTCTCCAGGGCGACGACGGTGGACAAACTGCTGATGATGCGCGACCCTGGCATGGATGTGTTTTTTCTCCCGCGGGCCGCCCGCTGAACTGGCGGCGCGCCTGCGGGCGTTCAGCTCCCACACTGAAAGGTACAGCAAGGAGGCCGAGAAACTGGCGGGCGAGCGGGGCCGCGCTCGCTTCCTGCGCCCGCTGTGAACGACTGCTGTGGAGCGCCACGGCGACGTGGCGCGCGCAGCGCCGCTGTCCAGCGCTGGAAAAATGACGCCGCCCTCGTTTCTCACCCCGACCGGCGGCGACCTAGAATGGGTCGATGTTCAGCGATCTGACGTTTCGGAAACGGCTGGTCGGTAAGGTTGAACGGTCCCTGCGGCGTGAGGAACCAACGCCGGGGTCGGCACGACATGAACCTGTAGTAAGCCCGCACAGCATCAGGCAATCCAGTCTGACCTCGTGGCAACCCATACAGTACCACACGGCGTGCCACATGGCTCATGGAGCCAGACGGCACGGGGCGCGCGGCATCGCGAGGTGTCACGGCACCACCAAAGGGTAGAGCCTCCTGGGGCACCGCACGAGCAACGCGCAACCAATTCCAGTTCCATATGTGCCGATGCACCACGCGGCACCACATGGGCCATTTTCAAGTCTTCCATTCGCCACCCGGCACCACCTGTGCCGATGCACAACGCGGCAGCACCGACGTCCCAACTCCAGTTCCTTGTGTGCCGACGTGGGGCAGCACCACGAGGCACCGCGCTGCACCGAACGCAGTGCATTATCCAAGCGTTCGACTTCGCTGTATCTTCTCAGAGCACCTTGCAGCACCATGTGGCCTGGCACTGGGTATCCGCAGTCGGGGCAGTCCACATGATATGCACGGAGCCAAATAGCCCGGCGCAAGATGGCACAGGGCGGCCGAGTTGACTTTGAAGGACGGTCCATGGTATTGCGCGACGCCACGCCACGGCACCACCGCACGACACGGTACAATGGTGCACATGGTTAGGCCGAGTTGCTTGCAACAAGTCCCGCCCCCATGCCAATCCAGCAATGTGGGTGGCAGCGATTCGAGGAGCGCGCAGGAAATCGTAGCTTGACATCTCGTGTCCCGACTCTTGGAAGAGGCGAATCGTGGGAAACGCCCCTCCGCGTTGTGTCGGGGTGTATATCCGTCTCTCCTCGTGTTCGTCGTCGTCTTCATCTCAACCTGTTATTCCCTCTTTCTCTCTTGGCGCCTTTTTGGGGGCCTTTCGGGGACCTTTAGTGCCTTTTGCGTGCTGCCTTGGCCCGTGTTATGGCGCTCTTGGACAGTCTGACGCTCTCGGGGGCCCTTTTTGGAGCTCTCTGGGCCATCTTGGGGCCTGCTTGGGGCCCTGGGGGTCTATGGGTCCGTCTCTGCGCATCCTTGGGTCGTCTTGGGGCCATCTTGGAGGCCTCCTGGGCCATCGTGACAGCCTCTTGGGCCGCCTTGGGGCCCTCTTGGGGACCTCGGCCAGTTGGGCCGTCTTAGGGCCATCTTTCAGACCCCTTGGACTATCTTAGGCCGTCGGAAGGCAGAAAAGATGGAAATGCGAACCTTGTTCAACAACTGATGCTGCATCTGGTTCGGATCTTGCTTGGGATCTCTTGGGGCCTTCTTGTCCGGTGTAGCCACCTTGGGACCATCTTGGACAACATCGGAGGCACCTTGGGCCATCTCGGCGGCCTGGGTGTCCTGCTTGGTTCGCCTTGGAAGTCGTCGTTGGACGTGGAGGCACTGGAGAGCGCCAGGGAGGCGTCCGGGTGCCCAGGACCCCAGAGGGGGCCATCGGTGTCATTCGTTGTGGCCAGGAAGGGAGGGGCCCCTTATCACCACCCACCAAACCACCCCAACCCAACCCGAAGGCCCAAATTTATCCTCGATTTCCAGTGGGGGGGGTCGGGGAACATGGAAAAAAAACATAAGGAACCCGTACCCCCCCCAACCCGAAATTCGGGTCAAATTCGGGTCTTCGGGTTGGGTTGGGGTGGTCTGGTAGGTAGTCACCTTAGAAAATTACAATAACCCCTCAGCGTGTCAGGGGGCGCGGTGCGAATCCTGTTTACTGCGCCGCGGAACTGAATCCGAGAGATCTTTCCGGGCAGGCGATCGTGGCCACAGCCACCGTCGGATTGATGCCGCTGGCGAGTGTTTGGCATACTTCTGGGATCGGTTCCAGGAGTGCTCTGGGTTCGCACTGCGATCGAAGCTAAACTGTTGCCGAAAACAGTCGGGGCGCTGAAGAAGGAACCCTTTTCGCTTGGGAGGGGCTTCGTGTTCCTAAGTTGTTTTGCAGCTTGCCTCAGGTTGTCCCTCGGCTTTCGATGGGAAATCGAAGTGAACTTTTGGAAAAGAGGGGCATCGTTCCTCATTCAGGGTTGTTTAGGTCAACGCCCCAGCTGTACACTCATGGGCAAGGCAGCTTCTCGTTCATCTCGCCCGCCACCGAGAGCTCGCAGATGAAGGAGCAACGCTTCAGAGACGAGTTGTTCATGCGAGGACTCACCTCGCATTTTCTGGGGCCTGCCTGCTGCTGGACTGCATCTGGAGATGCTGCTGATGATGATGGTACTGATACTGATGATGACACTGATACTGATGATGACGACGCTGATGATGCTGATGAGGATGACGATGCTGATGATGCTGATGATGGTGTTGATGCTGATGATGACGATGATGATGATGAGGATACTCATGATGATGCTGATGATGATGCTGATGCTGACGCTGATGATGATGATGATGATGCTGATGCTGCTGCTGCTGCTGATGATGATTATGATGGTGATCATGATGCTGATGATGATGATGATGATGACGATGATGAGGATGAGGATGAGGATGAGGATGAGGATGAGGATGAGGATGAGGATGATGATGATGAGGATGATGAGGATGAGGATGAGGATGAGGATGAGGATGAGGATGAGGATGAGGATGAGGATGAGGATGATGATGATGATGATGATGATGATGATGATGATGATGATGATGAGGATGAGGATGAGGATGAGGATGATGAGTGCCGAGCAATGGAAAAGGCTAGGCTTGCCCGACTAGCATCACACGTTTCCCTGTCGCTGGGGGGAATGATGAGCTCGTGGGGCGCCCACACCTCTCATCTACCGGAAATCCAGCCACGGGGGGTAAAAACACCAGGGGCCCCCAGGCTGCCTCTCAGGAAGCCCCAGGAGCTTCCGAGAAGCTCGCATAGAGGCACCCCAGAGGGACCCACGAAGCCCCCGGCCTCCCGGAAGCTCCCACCAGGACCTCCTGATAGCTCCAAGATGGCTCGGAAGTGGCCCCAGGGCATCCCAAGGGCGCCCCCGAGGGTTCCACGTCGCTCAAAATCAGTTTTTCTGGATGTCTTTCGCTCTCTCGCCTTTTCGCTTCGGATCGGATTTTGAAGCGTCCAGACGGTTCCTAAATCGTCCCAAATAGGCCCAAGGGATTCCCAACACGGGCTCAAGACGGCCCAAGAGGCCCTCGAGACGGCCCCAGGACAGCCCAAGAGACCCCCAAGAGGCTCTAAATAGGCCCCAAGAGGTCCCCAAGAGGGCTCGAAGAGAGCTCCACGAATGCAGGTCCACAGAGCCTCCCCAGAGGCCCCCTGAACGCTCTCCTCGCCAAGATGGCCCCAAGAGCTTCCCGGAGGCTCCCAAGAGGCACCCAAAAGGCCCCCCAAAGTCCCTTCGGAACCCCCTACTAGGCAAACGAGAGGCACCCCTGGCGGCCCTCGTAGAGACTAGAAAATATGTAATCGCTTCGCTCATTCCGCCAGTCCATGTTGCCTCGCCGCTGTCGTTTGTCGGGGTGTTGTTGTCAATGCGGTGCTGCTGGGCGGCTGCCATTTTTCGGAGGCGCTGGGTGGTCGGTGGTGGGTCAGAGGACTCATGGATGTTGGTTGAGCTCTCGTTGTTGGCCTCTCGGGGGCTTCTGGGAGGCAGTTTTGAGTCTCTTTGGGTCTCTTTGGGGCTCTTGGGGCTTCTTGGGGTGCCTCTTGAGGTCCCTTGGGGCCTCTTGGGGGCCTCTTGGGGCCTCCTGGACTTCTCGGTTCCTGGTCTCCTTCTTGGGCCCCTCTTGGGGCCGTTCTGGGGCTCTCTTGGGCCGTCTTGGGGCTTTCTTGGGCTCTCTTCGGGCCATTTTGGGGGCGCGTTGGGCCGTGGGGACGATGTTAGAGGCCGCTGGGGCAGTTCTGGACGCTGTGAACCCTCAAACGTCGCACATGCGAAAAATGTATGTTTTCTGGATGGGATGGGACGATGTTTGCTTGTTGGGGCCCTCTTGGAGAGCCTCTTGGGACTTTTTCGCGGCCTCTGGGGCCATCTGGAGACCATCTTTCCCGTCTTCAGGCGATCTTTCGGCGACTTGGGGCCTCTTCGGCCGTGTAGGGGGCGTCCCGGCGCCCTCTTGGCAGACTAGAAATATTGTTAACCTGTACGGGAGATCTTAGCACGCCTATGGCCCGTTGGGCCGGCGAATGTTTTACAGGCTTCCAATCGAAGACGCTTCCATTCCAGAAGTATACAAGCACTCTCCCCCTCACTCCTCCTTCTCCTCATCTTTCTCCTCCTCCTCCTCCTTCTCCTCCTCCTTCTCCTCCTCCTCCTGCCTCCTCCCCCTCTTCCTCCCTACTCTTCCCTGCTGTCCCCTGCCTCCTCCGCCCTTCTCCCTCCCGCCTTCCTCTTTCGCTGTGTTGCTGTCCTTCTTTTCCTGCTGCCTTCTCCTCCCGCGGCTAGGGCCAGGGGCGGAAGAAAAGCGACACCACCACCACCACCACCACCACCACCACCAGGGGTGCCACCCCCAGCGTTGGGTTCCACGATGCCTCCCCGTTTGGGGGGATAGGGGGTGCCTCGAGCGGGGAGGCGGGACCGCGCCACCCGGAGGACCCCGCCCCAGCTCCTCGCGTTGGTCGTGGCGCCGCTCTGCAAGGTGTGGGGGGGGGCATTGGGCCCAGGCCGTGGAGCCTCGACCCCTAGCGGCCCCCAGGGCCTCCCCGGGCCGAACCCAGGACCTGCGCGGAAGCTCCACAGAGTGCCCCGCGACGGTCCCAGGAGCCCCCCCAGGCGTCCCCAGGAGGCTCCCAGCAGCACCGCGAGGCCCCAAGGGTGGCCCAGGAGGCCGCCAGAGTGCCCGCACAGGACCTCCGAGCGGGCCGCATCGGTCAAGAAAAAAAAACACGATCCCCAACGTGCTTTCCCTTCTTTTTGGGGCTTCCCATTTGTTGCGAAAGTGTGGTTCCAAGATGGCTTCGGAGGCCCAAATGGTCTGGAAGAGAGCTGCAATATTGCCCAAGGATGGCCCAGGACTGCCGCCCAAACCACGCCTCAGTCCGACTTCAGACACAACAGCGTGGGCTTCCAAACCGAGGGCCCGATCATCCGGACATGGCATCTCCAGCGCGCTGTACACGTGGGACCCATGGCAGGCAGAACTTGAGCGGTCGCGAAGCGCGCGCGATAGTTCTGGTTATATATGTGGTGAGGCGATGGGTGGATGCGATCGAGGAGGCAGGTTCAGTACGGATGATGGATGAGACACGTGGCGAGAGTCAAGACGATTGGGCGGGTAGGGGCGTACGACGAAGAAAGGTCTGCCTCTTGTTGTGTCTCCCATGTGGCCACCGTACACGAGCACTGAGGCATACTCGGCTGACGTGTTGACCAATGTGAATATGAACACTTGCATATTGCTGCTTCGATATTTTTGTTTGCTCGGATTGCGCCGAGAAGGTTGAGCGAGAGCGGTCGGTGCATTGGGCAGAGTTGTCGGGATGGTATTGATTGAAGGTTGAGTTCAGGTCGGCGCCTCAGTTGTCATTCGGTCTATGTGATGTAACGTCGGCTATCTCAGATGAGGGATGGTATTGGTTCGCGAATGCAAACCTATTGGCTTTTAGTTGCTTCGGCCATAAAGCGACTGGGATACTCCAACCTCAAGCTCTTTGAGGAGGTCGACGTGAATGGGAGTGGCGACCTGACTCGAGAGGAGCTCTTTGGGAGACATGGGGATTCACCAGTTACCTTGCACGGGTCGGTCGGCCCCACATCTCTCCACCTTTGAGATCCGGCTGCTCGTCTAGACGTGTTGTTGAATTGAACGTCCGCCGTGTGACATCAGAGCGTCCGAACGGGCGTCTGGGCAGTATGTGGGCGTGGACTTTCTTTAATTTTTTTTCTCTCTCTCTCTCTCTCTCGAGTCGTGCAGCTCACAACAAGGAATCGCGCAGATAATGGGCCTGTTTTCCACCACCACCACCACCACCACCACCACCACCACCACCACCACCACCATACGGTAGAGGGAAACAATTACTGAACACTCCCCTCCCCCAAACTCAATGTTGGCACGCGCGGAAAACACTGCGGTCGAAGTGCATCTCATCAGACCCACCGCCAACTTTGAACATTGGCGGGGGGAGGCGTTGACAGATGAATTTGGCATGAGTGTTCGCTAATTGGTTCCGAAGCCTGTAAGTTGGACGGGGAGGAGGAGGAGGAGGAGGAGGAGGAGGAGGAGGAGGAGGAGGAGGAGGAGGAGGAGGACCCCCCCCTCCCCCTCCCACCTATGGTGGTGGTGGTGGTGAAAAACCGGCCCGTCAGCAGACCCGTGAAGACAGTCCTCGGAGGACCTGCAGACCTCGCGCCGCCTCGCCCGCCGCGCTCCCCTGCGCGCCCCCGGCCCCCCTGCCGTGGCCGAGGTGGCCCCGGGCGCGTCGGGGCCGTCGGCCGCTGGGGTCGGGAGCTCTCGGCCCTCCTTTTGTTGCCTCCCCCGTGCGTGCGTGCGTGCGTGCGTGCGTGCGTGCGTGCGTGCGTGCGTGCGTGCGTGCGTGCGTGCGTGCGTGCGTGCGTGCGTGCGTGCGTGCGTGCGTGCGTGCGTGCGTGCGTGCGTGCGTGCGTGCGTGCGTGCGTGCGTGCGTGCGTGCGTGCGTGTGTGTGTGTGTGTGTGTGTGTGCGTGGGTGCGTAAGTGTGTGTTTGTGTGTGCGTGTGTGTGCGTGTGTGTGCTCGGGGTGGACTTCTTCCACCTCGGAGTGCCCTCCGCCTCCGCCTCCGCCCCTCCTCTGCGGCCGCCTCGTCTGTCTCGTGTCCCCTCTCTTGCACTCCTGCCAGGTCGCCATTCGGCTGCCCCGGATCGCCACTCGCTGGTGCGGACCGCCTCCGCCTCGCCGCCGACGGAAAAATTGTTTCCTCCTGTGAGTGATTGGGCACCGGACGTGGCAGCGATCCCTTGCAAGGCTTCGCCCTGGCAGCGGCCCATGCCCATAGAGTTGACACGCAAAGTTCCAGATGCCTCGGGGAGGTCGATTCGCCTTCCGTCGCGTTTTCGGCCCAGCGGGTCCCGAGGCGCAGAGATGCGCAGATATGTGCACTGACGCGTGGTAGTCGCGGTGTGTTTCTGACACTGCCACGTCGTGCTCGTCCCCGCCAGCAGCTGCCCGCACGCCCTTCTGACGAGATGGCCTTGGAGCTGGAGGTGATCATTCTCAGCGTGCCCCTGGCCGTCGGCTTCGGCTGGGCCATTGGCGCCAACGACGCTGCCAATGCGCTCGGCGCCGCCTTCGGGGCGGGCGCCCTCTCCGCCCGGAGGGGCGCGCAGATCGCCGCTCTGTGCGAGTTCGTGGGCGCCGCGGCCCTGAGCGGCCACGTGCAGAACACCTTGGCGGCCAAGGTGCTGGACGCAGAGGTGCTCGAGCGCCCCGGGGAGCGCTGCGGCGCCGGCGGCGTCGCAGCCGGCCTGGCCGACCGCGAGGCGCTGGCGAACGTGGCGGCGCTCGCGGGCGCGGCGGTCTTCTTGTCGCTGGCCTCGGTCTGCGGGGTGCCGGCCTCGTCGACCCACAGCGTGGTCGCCGCTATCGCAGGCGTCGGCCTCGCCGCCAGCTGCGGAGACTCGGCGGCGGTGAAGTGGCACGAGCTGGAGCGCATCGCCGCCTCCTGGATCGTGTCCCCCCTGCTGGGCGCGATCCTGGGGGCCTCCGTGCACTGCGCGGTCGTGAGGCTCGCGCGGGTGGGCGCCCGAGCTGTGGGAATCGTGGCGTGCCTCCTGGTGACGCTGCTCCTCGCCGCCGAGGGGGGCGACGCGCTGCACTCGCGGTGGCCCAGCGCGCTGAGTGCGAGCCGGGCGGCGCCGCTGGCGCTGCTCGCGGTCGTGGGCGTCACCCTCGCGAGCGCGTGCAGGCTGGGGCGAGACCCGGCCGCTGCTCTGCGGCGGGGCCGCGGGCTGCTCCGCTGGTCCTCGGAGAGGGTGGTCTGGTCCGCGGAGCTCAGGGAACTAAACAACGGCAGAACCGCAACAGCTCGGAGGTCCGCGCGGATTTCTCGGATCCGCGCTGGCCTCCCTCTGGCGGCGCCTCAGGCGCCACCCCTGGCGCGCTCCTCGCGCCAGGGAGGGGGGTCAAGCGCCGATCCGAGAAATCCGCGCGGACCTCCGAGTTGTTATGTTTATGCCATTGCTTGTTCCCCTAATGAGAGGAGGAAGAGGTACTGGGGTACTGCTACCCTTGCCTCGCTCTCGCGTTTCTGGGCGCTCTGGGAGGCCCTCGTCGCCGCCGCTGGTGTCGCCTCGGAAGTCCTGCCAGAACGCACCCTGGGAGAGCTCCGGGCAGCAGCGGAACCGGTACCTGTTTTGTTTCCCCCAGGAGTTTCTCGCAGCGGAGGCAGAGGCGGCAGACCTCGGGCTGCCCCGGGAGACCCCTGGTGGCAGCCCGGTGGGCACGCACGATGGCCGCAGCGCGCACAGCCCCACCATTCTCGGCAAGGCAGCCGGCGCCCTGCCTCCGATGGGCTCTGGGTACCCCGCGGCAGCAGCCCATCTTGCGAGCTCCTCGTGCCCTGCAGCTTTGCCGGCAGGGGTGCGAGACGAGGAGGTGGCCCTCGTGGCGCCGCTGCTCGTCCTGGCAGGCCTCATGTCCGTCGCCCACGGCTCGAATGACGTGGCCAATGCTACCGGCCCGTTGGTCGCGGTGCTCGCTGCCTATGGCCGCGAGCCCGCAAGTGGCCGCATCGCCTGGCCGACCCTGGCGGTGGGCGGCGGCATCGCGCTGGGCGTCATCGTGCACGGCAAGCGGGTCATGCGGGCGGTCGGCACCGGCATCATCGCGCTGGACATCCCGTCGGCCTTCTCGTGCCAGTTGGGCACCGTGTCGACCGTGCTTCTGGCGAGCCGCCTGGGGCTGCCGGTGTCGACCACGCACGTTCTCATCGGCACCCTGTGCGGCGTGGCCGCGGCCGCGAAGGTGCACGGCAGAGGCGATGCGATGGGCAGGGCCACAGAGTGGGGCCGCGCTCCCAGTGGTGCCGGGTCTGGCGTCGAGGCGGGCTCCCCAGCAGGCTGCGGCAGCTCGGCGGCCGCGGATTCCCTGGGCCCCGGGGGCACCGCGCCCACAGCCACCCGTGGGGCCGAGCCGGGCCCGTCGCCAACTTCTGGGCTGCGCCTCATGCCGAAGAACAAAGAGCGGCACAGCATCAAGTCGGGCCTGTCCCCCTACAGGAGGAATATTCAAGAATAGTACAGAAATGGTCTGGGGACGATGTGTCTAGTATGTTTACAATATTCTTGAATGTGATTTGAGTATTTTTATTTCTCGTCCAAAATCCGCCTGTAGGGGGACATGCCCGACCTCAGCATAGCAAGGGTGTTCGCTGTTCGGTCGGTTCGGTTGCATCGCAGTCGGTTGCAATCCGGCGTCTCGGTTCGGTCGGTTATCGTGTCGTTGCCGCGTCGCTGCGTCCTTCGAGGCTGTTTTCGGCCTGTCGGTTTCGGCCGGCTTCGGCTTCGCTGCCGGTTCGGTCGGTTCTCGGTTTTGCTGTCGCCGTGCACGGTCTTGCATGAACTCGATTTCTCGGGGGTCCGCGCGGATCGGCGCCAGAGCTACCTCGGCGGCGTCTCCGGCGCCGATCCAAGGACTCCGCGCGGACCTGCAAGAGATCATGCTCAAGCCGCCTTTTGTTCTTCCCTCATTGGCAAGATCGTCTTGTTCTGGGTGCTCACGCTGCCTGGCGCTGCGCTGGCCGCGGCCGCGGCGTTCAAGGCTCTGTCGCTGGTCTTCGGGTGAGCGGGCGCGGCGCGCCGCGAGACTTGGGGGGGCGGGCGCGGCGGAGCCTCGGCCAAGAGAGGAGCTTGGCTCTCGGGCAGGGGGGGCCGCGTCTCCGATGCACTGCTGCATCCCTCGGCTCTTCCACGTTGGAGCCGGCGGGAGGGGGAGGGTGAGGGGGAGTGGGAGGAGGAGGAGGCGGAGGCGGAGGCGGAGGAGGAGGAGGAGGAGGAGGAGGAGGAGGAGGAGGAGTATGGGGTTCTGAGCTGGCCCAGCATTGGTTCCAGCCGGCATGAAGGGGGGGGGGGGGGGCAGTTTCGAGGCGCTTGGCTCGGGAAGGTTTTTGTTTTCTTCCGCCTCCAGGGGCCGTTTTGGGGCCCCGGGGGCAGTCAAGAACGGATGGGAGCCTGGTGTGTCCTCGTGCACGCCCGTCGTTGAAAGTAGGTATTTTTGAATTCCCAGTTCTCACCCCACTTCATGTGACAGATTTTGCTGTGTATTGTTATTCTCTGGGTGGGCCTGAACCCAACCTACGTGATCCGCCTTCCTACTTCATGCTTTTACCTACTTCTTCCGACCGACGTGTAGTTCTGTCTTCAGAGTGCCTTTAACGGTTTAGTCCACTAGCCTCGATTCAGCGTCGAATTGGCGTCGACGAGCGTCGATTCCACAGAGCCAGCCAGATGGTCTAGTAGGCTCCCATGACTTGCCCGCAGAACCTCCCTGCTTCCCTCGGTTCTTCCACGTGCCGCTCGTTCCCGTCTCCTCTCCGCTCCCTCCGCGTGGATCGGCGGCGAACTCCGCACCCGAACCCTGGCCGATCAACGATCCAGGCAGCTCGATGGGCGGCGGGGGCAGGGCTCGGGATTCGTCGAACGCGTGGCCAACTCCGAGCCCCCCCTCACGCCTCCCATCGATTCAGGAGAATCGATGGTTGGTGGGGGTCAGGGTCCGGATGTTGCCGCCCGGTGGCAACCCCGGGAGGGCCCGCCCCTCCAGCCGCCCCAAACCGCCGGGGATCGGTGGCGCACGGCGACCCCCAGGGAGCCCTGGCCTCCTCCTGGGCTTACAGTCCGCCCGCACAGCAAGGATGGGCGACTTCCCAAGGCTGCCCGTGCATCCTTGTCGCTTCGGCCCCTCCTTGGCCGCTGTCGCTGGCCAACCTCGTTCGAAGCACGTTGACGTGGCCCTCCAAGGCCCTTGCATCCCCCGTGCCTCGGCGCGGCCCGCTGGACGGCGATCACGCCCAGAGCCCGCCGAGCCACGAGTGCGTACACCCGGAAGCAATGCCCCTTGTCCGCTGGTGCGTTCCTCTTTTCCCCCGCCGTCGTGAGGATGCGTGGCGCCATCGGGCGTCACACGGTCATGCTTCGCAGGCGATCTGTTCTCCCCCACCCACGATTGTTCGTCGAAGAATGAAACCGCTCAGAAGATGCTGGAAACCTTGGGATACAACCCCCAGGGTGCTATTCGGACGCACCCCTATCGAGGATGGACGCCCCCCCGTCGTATATCCCAAGGTTAGGCCCAAAATTTCTGGTCCAGTCGGAAACGTGCCAAAGCCTGGGATAGGGGTCGACATATCCCCTGTTAGCGCTCTCCAATGGACCGTTTTGCTCTGAGTCCTGTGTTGTTCCTGTGTTATGTGTGCTCAGAAGTGCAAGTTGTGCCGCATCCTGCCTCCTGGCCACCAGTCGTTGACATTGTTTGCTGCCGTTTCGGCTTCGGCCATGCTGTATCACTATGGTTGTTTGCGCGAGTACTTAGCATTTCGGTCGCTGTCGTTTTCACTGCTAGCACGTTCGAATTACAAGTTGCTGCTGAAGAGAAGCGGTATGTTCTATGTGACCTGGGCTACCACCAATGGGCGTGTTTTTTCTTGTCTTGGCAGCAGTCTGCGACATGTGTTGCCAGGTGTTACTGTCACAGTAGTGCAAACAAATGTGTAGTAAGTGATTGGCTGGCAATTGCGATGGAACGTACCACATCTCCCACTCCTTTGTATGCATCCGAGCGCGCGCTGACCTCTCAAGTGTTTGCAGTTCGGGGTACCCAAGGTTGGGCGCGACGGGCACGGCAGAGGCAACGAGAGGCACCGCAGTGGGTCCGAAGTTGTTTCCCACGCTCTTGGGGAGAGAGGTGCAGCGCGAAGGCGCAGCCAGGCCCCGCGGCAGGGCGAAGCAGGCTCAGCAGCAGGCGGCGGCACAACACCACCAGCGGGCGCTCCCCAGCAGGCCAGCGAGATCGGGAAGATATACGGCTGGCTCATGCGATCACGGACATGGCGGATCAGTTGCTGGGTCGACGGGCCAAGTAACTGCAGACCCCCTCCACCGTCCTGGGAGTGGCGGCCCCCAAGGGGTTAAAGGAGGGGAGCGCCTCAGGGGCTTGGCCACAACGGGATCGGCGGCCGCGAGTGGATCAGTTGCTGGGTCGACAGGCCAAGCGACTGCAGACCCCCTCCACCGTCCTGGGCGTGGCGGCCCCCAAGGGATTAAAGGGGGGGAGCGTCTCAGGGGCTTGGCCGCAACGAGGTCGATTGCCACGGGCGGATCAGTTGCAGGGTCGACTGGCCAAGCTTTTGCAGACCCCCTTCCACCGTCCTGGATGCGACGGCCCCCAAGGGGTTAAAGGAGGGGAACGTCTCAGGGGCATGGCCACAATGAGATCACTTGCCACGGGTGGATCAATGACTTTACCGTCCTCGATTGCCACGGGTGGATCAGTAGCCTCGGGTGGATCAGCTACCAGACTTTCGGTTTCGAGATCAACGTCCGCTCCTCCCGCCTCGACGGCACGCTCTGAGAGGAAGCGCGACTTCGAGGCTCGGCCTGCCGTTGCCTTGGATCCCCTCCGTCCTCCTCCTCGTCCCATCACTCCTCCTGTGCGTCCGCAGTACAGTTTCAAAGAATTGGTTAGCATGTTCACCACGTAGTTTCTCCTGGCCTCTGAGAGGCTGTTGAGCTGTTTAGTGAAGTTTCTGTGTGAAGCTCTGCGAGTTTGTCTAGTTCTCTTTCGGGCCCGTGCTCTGTGAAGCTACGGTAGGGCGGGCCCCCCCGCACACCTGAGTTTTCACTCGGCCTCGGTGAGGCCGCTGACTTGAGTTTAGTTCGTTTCCTGAGCTTGCGGAGTTTGCGAATCCTTCAGTTTCATGTTATGGTCCGAGCTCTGTGAAGTTGCGGTCGAGCGAGGTCCACTCGTGGCTCCCGCTGTGGGGCCATCCTCATCCGCGTCTCGACGCGCACGGTAGGTCGCAACCGCCCGAGATGAGTTCGGATGGTTGGTTTACGTCGAGTGGCATCGACCTTCGGCCCGACACCGTATCGCCGCCGCCGCCTCCTCCTCCTCCTCCTTCCCCTCCATTCCTCCTTTTGCTTCTCACCCTTCTCCTCCCTTCTCCCCCCAAAACTGCCGAACGACGACATTTCGGAGAGACGGATAACTGACTGCACTTCCACCTAGTCCTCCTTCTCATTCCTGTTGCCACTGCTTCTCCACCTTCCTCTTCCTTCTCACCATCCTGGGACGGGGGTGACGTCGAAAAACACCAGCATTGCCATGATCAGCCGTGGTGGTTGGATGGTTTGAAGTCTCGTGTCCCGGGGCGTGGCTCACTTGTCATTCGATGAGTAACCCAGCGCCCCCGATATTAAATCATCCCCCCATTAACCCCCTGAATAAACCGTGTCAATACGATTTAATTGTGAAGAGGGCGCGGAGGCCGAATGTCATAATCTCCGGGGGAGTTGCGAATCGAAGTTGGTATCATCTCATGTTGACCAGCAACAGCATCAAGAACGCTGGGCATGGCAATGGTGGTCTCACCATTTCAGCTTCCGCAATAACGAGCGTGTGGCAGGACTACGGGGGTCTCACCATTTCAGTTTTCCCAAGTCACGAACGTGCGTCAGGGCCATGGGATTCTTATTTTCTCCGCACTTCCCGAGTCAGGAACGCGTGGCAGGGCCATAGGGACCGATTGGATTTTGAAGTTACACGCGTTATTCGAGCAGGCAGAGAATTGGAGTGACTTGTTTAGCGCATCCCTCACACGGTTCGTGGCCCTTCCTCCTCCTCCTCCTCCTCCTCCTCCTCATCCTCCTCCTCCTCCTCCTCTTCCTCCTCCGCCTCATCCTCCTCCTTCTCCTCTTCCTTCCGCCCCCGCAATTGCCCAGGCCCGAGCTTCCCCGAGCCTCCGAGACCCCAAACTTTCAAGCCTCTTCGAGGCACCGAGCTGCACCTCCCCTGGGGGCAACGATAGGGGGGGATAAGGCGTCAGGGGATGCATCGATCCCCAGTCGCCCATTGATTGCAGAGGGTGGTTCGATAGCCCGAACCGGCCCCGGAACATGCGGATTCACGATCGGGCGCCCATCGCCGGTACATCGGCGATGTATCGCCGATTCCAGGTCGACGTTCCCCCCCCCAATGCGCATCCCCCCCACATCGTTGCCCCTCAGTGCGTCGCGAGCCTCAGCCATGTCCCAGGCCGCCGAGCGCGCCCAGGCGGCGACCCAGCAGGTCGCGGCCCTGCAGGGGGTCGCGACCCAGAGCGCGAGCCCGAGCTCGAACGAGATTCTCGAGCGCATGGCCAAGCATAACGAGAAGACCCTCGACGAGCTGTCCTTCATCGCGGACGAGGTCGCTATCGCCGAGATGCGCCCGTGCCAATCGAGCGCGCAAGGCACTGACGCAGCAAGAACGACGGCTTGCTCATTCAGGGCGGTTGCGGTCGGCGAGCGCTCAGCAAGCCGTCCTCGAGATGGACTGCAACGGTGGTTCTCTCAAGAGCATCGGGCACGGGAGCATCTTCAACGAAAAGAACAAGAGGCGCGTCGAGCTGGCAGTGGCGCTGTTCTACAAGACCTACTGCGAGAAATACACTCGCCCCCCAGACATATTCGAGAATCGCGGAGGGCCGCCCGGGAACCTCTTCTGGCCCATGCCGAGCTTCAAGTCGAAGATGCTCGAGCCTGCCAAGAAGAAGGACATCGAGCTCGGCGCCGAGAGCGCCCAGCGCCTCAGCTTCGGCCCTTTCGCCGAGCGCGTCGGCATAGCCCTCCCTGGCGCCCCCTTCCGAGCTCCCTCGCCTCCGCGACCTCGTGCTGCCGATCAACGGGAGC